AAAAAAAAAAAAAAATGTTAGTGAGAAGAGAAATGGAAAAGGGAAATATGAAATGTCTACCTAGTGAGATTTTGAAATCTCAGAGTGAGGTGACTGGGAGACAGTCATCCAAGAGATATCATTTACATTGGATCAAAATTATGCTGCTTCAGAATTTGCTGTGTGATCCTGTTACTTATTGGAGACATTTATGTATGTGTGTATGTATGTATGTATGTTTTTCCCTCCCAAATAGGCTTTAAAAGCTGGGAAGAAAGTGAAACTCTCTCATGAAGAAGTTATGCAGAAAATGGGTGAACTCTTTGCCCTAAGGTAAAATTTTCTCTGTAAATGAAATATTTCATATATTTAACAATCTCAAGAAAACATTTCTGTAGTTCTAAAGTAAAGGGCAAACATTTGTACCTTTATGAGAGTTACAGCTGTTTTCATTTCATTCATGATAAGCATGGGGAACTCTTAGCCATTAGAAGCAGTTGGGCTATGTTAGGACTGTACTGGAAGAAATTCTGCATGTTGGAAAGAGATCGCAGTTAATCTACATTAAACCTATGTCAGCGAGCATAGTAGATGTTCTTTGAAGGTAGAAAGATATATTCTAGAATTTGGATAATGGGGATTCTCGGTAAAAATATATCACTGCATCATAATGCTAAATGGACCTAATTGCTGGGCCGGCCCCGTGGCTTAGCGGTTAAGTGCGTGCGCTCCGCTGCTGGCGGCCCGGGTTCGGATCCCGGGCACGCACCGACGCACCGCTTCTCCGGCCATGCTGAGGCCGCGTCCCACATACAGCAACTAGAAGGATGTGCAGCTATGACATACAACTATCTACTGGGTCTTTGGGGGAAAAAAATAAAATAAAAAAATTAAAAAAAAAATAGACCTAATTGCTACCGAAAAATTATGTACTGTATTTCATTGACTCTGAGACACCATAAGGTCCCACAGGAGAGTAAAAATGCTGCCAACTACACTATGATACAGTGCTTTTTTATCACAGAATTTTAATTTTGCACTTACTGAAATAACTCTTTTAGTCTTACTTGGATGTCAATTCTGTCACATCCCCTCTTGGGAATACATGAAAAGGGAAGCATAAGGGAAATAAATCATTTAAGGCAATGACAGCTAAGTCACGTCTGCCACCTGTGAGACTTCATCAATTTTAAATATGCCTTCCATTTTCAGAGTTGTTCAAATGGGAAGAACCATGACTTCAATGATGAAATACAATAACGCATCATTTTAAATAAGCATCTGGAAAGGTTTTCAGTCTATTTTATTCTTGTAATTTTCCCAGGATCTGTAGAATGACACATCCTCAATCTCGGCCTTATTCTCACTAGGCAGCAGTGTTCAGTGTTTCGTTCCTTGTAGTGTATGGGGTAAGATACTGGAGTTTGTTGCCAATAGTTTACCTAAGAGTTGTTTTTCCACCTTCTTCTTAGAGACTTGGCCTGAAGAGGAGAAGTGGTCCAGTGTTTCATCATCCATGCCTTTCTCATAGCTCAGGGACCCTAACTCAGAGCAGCAACAAAAATTAAAAACCCATTTATCAGGAGCATCCCGCAGCACTTCTAAAGCCTTGAGTTCTCTAAGAAGTGGGGTAGAGAGAGTCTTCTCGCCTTTTTTCTTGGTAATGCAAGCAGAGTTTGATATAGTGAATTATAACATCAAAACTTAGAAGTTAGGGGGTCGGCCACATGGCGTAGTTGTTAAGTTCGGTGTGCTCTGCTTTGGCGGCCGGGGTTCGCGGATTCAGATCCTGAGTGCAGACCTATACCACTCGTCAGCCATGCTGTGGCAGCAACCCACATACAAAATAGAGGAAGATTGGTGCAGATGTTAGCTCAGGGCTCATCTTGCTCAAACAAAAAAAGAAGATTGGCAACAGATGTTAGCTCAGGGCGAGTCTTTCTCAGCAAAATAAACTTAGAAGTTAGGACTAAATATACTTAAGTTGGTGAATAGTTTCTATACAATCTTACTGTTCTTATCCTAAGTTTTCTTCTCTTTAAAATAAAAGTGCTGGGCCAGCCCCGTGGTGTAGCGGTTAAGTGCACGCGCTCTGCTGCTGACGGCACAGGTTCGGATCCCAGGTGCGCACCGACACACTGCTTGTCAGGCCATACTGTGGTGCCGTCCCACATAAAGTGGAGGAAGATGGGCAGGATGTTAGCCCAGGGCCAGTCTTCCTCAGCAAAAAGAGGAGGATTGGCATGGATGTTAGCTCAGGGCTGATCTTCCTCACAAAAAAAAAAAAGTGCTTATGTAGGGAATGTGGTAAATCTATGAATAGAAATTGAAATAGAAATATGGCAGGTTATATTAGGTGAAAAATTAAGTCACAAATTATATATGGTATGATCCCATTTGTGTAAACAAAAATAAATATTCATCTTGATATGTATACATACTACAAATACACGTACACATGTGTGCATACATACACACACACGTACACACACGCATGCATGTATGCACAGAAAAAGACCTGGAAGGGCACAGCAAAGTGTCTGCAGGGCCTCAAGGATGTGAGTTGTGTGTTAGGATAAGAGGGTAGAGGGTACTGCTGTTTTCTGAATTCTTCTTGAGAGTTTTTCTTTTTTATGGTGAACGGCTGTTTATGTGTTACTTTTATGACTTAAATTTTCATTTAAAAGTAAGCTCTGGCCTCTTATGTAAAAAAAGGTAGAAATTAGAGAAAGAGAGAAAGAGTGTGTGTGTGTGTGTGTGTATTTGCTTGTCCAGTGTTTGCACAAACACTGGAAGGCTACAGAGGAAACTAGCAGTGGTGACCTATAGGGGATGGGAGAAAGAGAAAGATGGGGATAAGAATGGGAGTAAGATTGGTCAATTTTTACCTTTTTCTATCTTTTTCATTATTGAGCCATGTCATTACCTATCCACAAAAAATATGTGTGTATATTGTAAAAAAATTTTAATGAAAAAAGAAACAAGCTTAGAAATTGAAAACAAAATGAGGGAGTTTTTTCCTGTCTACTTCATAAATATTAATATTAAAGGTTGAATTAACTTGGTTGCACATTTTGAAAGTCTTTTATAGATTTTCTTTTTCTTTTTGGTGAGGAAGATTAGCCCTGAGCTAACATCTGTTGCCAATCTTCCTCGTTTTTTTGCTTGAGGAAGATTAGCTTTGAGCTAACATCTGTACCAGTCTTCCTCTATTTTGTATGTGGGTCACCGCCTCAGCATGGCTGACGAGTGGCGTAGGTCCGTGCACGGGATCAGAGAACACAGGCCGCTGAAGCAGAGCGCACTGAGCTCAACCACTATGCCATGGGGCTGGCCCCTATAAGTTTTTTTATTTACATGTTTCTCAGAAGTAGTATAAAAATCAGCATTCAAAAATATTTTCATAAAGCACCATGTAAAGAAGAAATAAAATAGAGACTATGATTTTTAATTCAAGATAAAAAATTATAATTTTCCTTTTTTTAAGACACCGTATAAACTTGAGTTCAGACTTCTTGATCACTCCGGATTTCTACTGGGACAGAGAAAACCTGGAAGGACTTTACGATAAAACTTGTCAGTTCCTTAGCATTGCTCGTAGAGTTAAGGTACGTATTTTGTACTTTTCTGAGAGAGAAAGACACAATGTTGCCTGTAATCTGTATGACTGTGTGAAGAGAAATTTTAAATTAAGTAAATGTGTTAAACAACTTTTGGAGAAATATCTTTCTTTCTTTCTTTTTTTTTTGGTGAGGAAGATTAGCCCTGAGCTAACAGCTGTTGCCAATCCTCCTCTTTTTGCTGAGGCAGATTGGCCCTGGGCTAACATCTGTGCCCATCTTCCTCTACTTCATATGTGGGACGCCTGCCACAGCATGGCGTGGCAATAGTGATTGGCACCAAGTGGCACCACTTGATAAGTGGTCCATAGGTCTGTGCCTGGGATCCAAACCTGTGGAGCGCACGAACTTAACCAGTATGCCACTGGGCCAGCCCTGAGAAATATCTTATTTGACTTCTATTCAGATCTCTAGATTTCCCCTTCCACTTCTCCTGTATACAGACAATTTTCAACTTATTTCATCCAAGGATACTTTTATATTTGCTCTACAGACTATATAAGATTAGTGAGAGGTTGGAGGCCTAGTGGTCCATTGGGAAGTTCTCATCAAGTTTCAAGGAAGAGTTCATGGGATCCAGAACTGTGATGGTGACAGCAAGAATATAAATGAATTTAAGAAAGACTCCTCTAAGACAAATCAAGTGCTTGGTGATGGGAGGCCATGGAGAGGGAAGAGTAAGGATGACTGATGTTTGTGTGGTTGACGGGCAGAAAAATGGCGAAACGTAGAGAGCTGGTGACGGGAGGAGGTGAGGAGCTAAATTTAAGATATGTTGAGAGGAGAGGAGCAAGAAGACATCCAGTTCGAACTATCACACAGGCATTTAGCAATGTGGGAGCAAAGTTGAGAAAAGAGATATCGGTATCAAGATAATGATGGAAGTGGGTGGAGGCGGTCGTGATGGAAGTGAACCACGTGGGGAAAGAATAGAAAACAAAATGGACATTAGTACAACGTGTGCACGTAGTTCTGTGACATTTTATCACGTGTACATCCATGTAACCACGCGATCGAGATGCAGAACTGTCCTGTCCCCACAAAGATCTCCCTTGTGCTGCCTCTTTATAGTCACACCATCTCCCCTCGCCCACCATCCCTCACCCCTGGCAATGAGTAACCTATTCTCCATCTCTATAATTTTGCCATTTTGAGAATGTTATAGAAATAGAAGCACACAGTATGTGACTTAAAATTGGCTATTTTCATGAGCATGATGCCCCTAAAATCCATCCAAGCTTTTGCCTTTATCAATCTCTGTCTTCCTGTGAGTTACTTAAACATTTTTTGAAATTCCATTTTGATTTATCTATATTGGATTTTTTTTAGTGTATTTCTCTGCATAGACATTTAATGGGTGCTCTAGGTATTACATTATACGTACATAACTTATCTCACTTTCGATTCTCTACTGGTTTTGACATTTTACCAGATTAAATCAAGTGTAGAAACCTTACTTGCCTTTACCCTCCAGCATTTACAATATGATTGTCTTAACCGTTCTGTAGAAATTCAGAACTTCATCAGTGTTATAATTTTTCCTTCAACCATCAAACATAATTTAGAAAACTCAAGAAAACTCAAGAGGAGAAGTAAATTCTATTATATATATCCATATTTTTATTCTTTCCTTTGTTCTTTTTTCCTTCATGGTGTTCCAAGATTTCTTCTTTATCATATCTTTTCTGTTTCAAGAACATTCTTTAGTTATTCTTTTAGAGTAAGTCTATGGAAACATGCTCTCTTAGTTTTCCTTCATATGAGAATGTCTAGATTTCCCCTTCCTTCCTGAAGAATATTTTCACTACATATAGTATTCTGAGTTGATAGTTCTTTTCTTTCAGCACCTAAAAATTGCTGGGCCACTTTCTCCATGGTTTCTGATGAGAAATCTACTATCATTCTATGACATGAATGTCAGATCTTTTCTTATACTCCCACAAGTCTTTGAGGCTCTGTTCACTTTTTTTCTAGTCTATTTTCTCTCTCTTGTTCATATTGGGTAATTTCCATTGTTCTGTCTTCAAGTTCACTGATTCTTTCCTCTATTACCTTCATTCTACTGTTGAGCCCATCATTGAGTTTTTAAATTATTTTTAATTGTGTTTTTCAGTTCTAAAATTTTCATATGGTTCTTCTTTATGTTTTGTATTTCTTTGCTGAAACTTTCTGTTTTTTCATTTGCTTCAAATGTGTTCGTGATTGCTTATTGAAGCATTTTTATGATAGATTAAAATCCTTGTCAGATAATTCCAACATCTGATTCATCTTGATGTTAGTGTCTCTTGGTTATCTTTTCTCATTCCCTCCAACTAATTTTAATACCTCCAGTTTTCCTCATTGCCTAAAGTGTTATGTTCTTGATCAGTTACACTGTAAGAATCAAATTTCAGTGGACTCCATCAACACAGTTTCAGATACTGAATGTCTGATTAGATACAGATTTGACAATCCGGTTGTCTGGTCAGACATGAAAAGCATTGGCCTTTCATGGTTGTGGACTGTGTACATAGGCTGAAGATCTAGGGGATGTAAAAGGAGGGGATACTAAAAGCTTTATACAGATGAGCTATCTCCTGTGGTTATACTAGTTAGCTATTACTGTGAAACAAATTGCTCCAAAACTTAGTGGCTTAAAACAGCACTTATCATCTTACAGTTTCTATGGGTCAGGAATCTAGGTGCATCTTAGCTGGGTCCTCTGGCTCTCTCACAAGGCAGCACACATCTCAAGGATCAGCTGGGAAAGATTCACTTCCTAGTTCACACATGTGGTTGTTGGCTAGGTTCAATTCCTCTCAGGCTGTTGGGCTGAAGACTCAGTTTCTCTTGAGCTCTTGGCCAGACACCTTCCTCAGTTCCTTGCCACATAGGCTTCTCCACAGAGCATCTCACAACATGGCAGCTTGCTTCGTCAGGGTGAGCAAGTGGGAGAATGAGAGAGAGAGAGAGAGAATGCTAGCAAGACGAGTCACAGTCTTTTGTAACCTAATCACAGCAATCACATCCCCTCACTTTTGCTGTATTCGGTTTTTTAGCAACAAGTCACAAGGCCCAGCCCACAGTCTAGGGGAGGGAATTACACAAGAGTGTGAACACCAGGAGGCGGGGATCTTGGCATGGCATCTTAGAGGTCTGTCTACCACCAGCTTCAGGTTTTGAAAAAGGTGGCAAAATTTAGGCCTACTTCATAAGCACTGTGACCCACATCATCCTCACACTGCTGGTATTTTAATCATTCCCAACTTCAGGCCACAAAAGGCACGGCCACCACTGCTGGTCTCATTGTGCTCAGAATCGTCAGTGACCCAACTGCCACTGCCACTTGACCCAGACAAGGTTGATGTCAAAAGAAATGTTCTGATCTTTGACCTGGGCTGTGGCCTTTTTTATGTGTCTATCCCCACTATTCAAGATGGAATTATTGATGTCAAGTCTACAACTGAGGACACCTCCTTGAGTGA